TGGGCAGTACGTGCCATCGGGGAAACCTGAGAGTACAGCCGGTGTTGCCAGCTGACCATAGAGCTGATTGGAGACCAAAATGGTGCCAATCACCTCTATAGTCTAAGAAATCAGAAGCTACGAGCATTTCATCACTTCAGTTTCCCAGGATATAAACCGCGCCATTTGTAAATTGGGAAAGCATCTGATCACACCGATCTTGGTGAGATTAGATAATGTAAGGGCAGAGGAGATATCTAGAGTCTGAAAGACCCCAGATTTAAAGAAAAAGAATATATGACAATGCCCATTGAAGTTATAGTGGATATTTGCATTCCCTGTGATAACAATTCCACTCCCACATACTGGTTCCTATGGATTCCCACAGCTGCACACCCTCAGGGGAAGTCGGAATAATGAAATGTGTCAGTGCGTGACCATCTGTGATGTCAGCACGCACGCCAGGACCACATGGTGCGATCACGTGACCGCAGCTGCGGGAATCCATAGGAACCAGCGTGTGGGAGTGGAATTGATATAATTTAATCTGGATGATGAGGAGATCGGAGCAGGAGTGATCATTAATTAATTTGATTGAAGGTTGTTTTTTGGGCTGCTGGCTGATTATCCTACTGTCGCTTTCGCAACCATTCAGCATCAAGGAGGTTGTTTTCTACTGATTTTTCCACTGCTGGTTATTCATCAGCTTCTAGGGAGTGTTTAATTCAATGGGGTGATAATCACTACAGGATCACATTGATGGTGGATCGAGCTACCTTAAAGAGATATCACATCACTGAAATGTACTGAACTTTTTCACAGTTTTTTCACTTTGGTAGAAGTTTCCATATTATTTCCTTATAATTGGTTTATTTACGATTTTTTTTTTCAAGTTTAATCTAGCATGACAGAGCGCTGTTTATGTGAATCTTTCTAGTCACTGTATATTAATCAATATACACTTATTGGGATTTTGTTTTACCAAATTTTTTTTACATGTAGCAGAATACATTTTGGCCTAAATTTATGCCCGACATTTGAGTTTTTTGGATATTTTTTATGACAAAAAAAATGAGAAAATATCAGGGTTTTTTTCAAACTTTTCGGAATTTTTTTGTTTATAGCGCAAAAAATAAAAAGCGCACAGGTGATCAAATACCACCAAAAGAAAACTCTATTTGTGCAAAAAAAAAAGGACATATATTTCATTTATGCACAGCACTGCATGACTGCACAATTGTCAGTTAAACTAGTGCAGTGCTATATAGCAAACAAAAAATGGCGTAAATTGCAGTATCTATACCATAGTTTGTAAACACTATAACTTTCACACAAAGCAATCAAAATACACTTATTGGGATTTTTTTCACCAAAAACATGTAGCAGAATACATTTTGGCCTAAATTTATGACTAACTTTGAGTTTAATATATATTTTTTTATAGCTGAAAGCAAAAAAATATTGTTTTTTAAAAAAATTTTGGTCTTTATTTGTTTATAGCGCAACAAATATATAGCGCACAGGTGATCAAATACCACCAAAAGAAAGCTCTATTTGTGTGACGTACATTTCGTTTGGGTACAGCATTGCATGACTGCGCAATTACCAGCTGAAATAGTGCAGCGCCGAATAGCAAAAAGAGGCCTGGTCAGGAAGTGGGGTAAATCCTCAGGATGGCAAGTGGTTAATATCATTGAGCCGCTCTGGGGACATATCAAGAGTGTGGTTCAAGCAAGACGACCAAACACTGTGCAAGACCTGGAGGCATTCTGTCAAGACAAATGGGCCGCTATACCACCTGCAAGAATTTATGGAGTCACAGAAGTATTACAAAAGACTGCACGCTGTCATTGATGCTGAAGAGGGCAATACACAGTATTAAGAACTAGTGTTATGCAGACTTTTGAACAGGTCATTTCATTTGTGTACTTGTTGCCATGTTTTTTAATGATAGTGCCATTCTGTTATGACCCACCGTTGAATATGAATACCATAAGAAATAAAAGAAATGTGTTTTGCCTACTCACTCATGTTTAAAAAAAAATAAATAAATAATTGGTACATATTATATACAGGTATTATATACCTTGGTTTATGAATTGAATGCGTTCTCTGGGACGTATCGTATTGCAAAAAATAAAATTTGTAAACCAAAACGCGGTTTCCCATAGGAATGCACTGAAAACCAATTAATCCGTTCCGGATGTCATAAAAAAGTAAAAAAAAGTTGCTGTCACTATAGGTCAGTGCCGGTTTTTAAATGTAATTACCAGCTTTTTGTTTTCTTCACTATAGCTCAGAGAATCAGCTGTCACTTTCCCCCCAGCTAAAAGAAAGAAAGTTTCCTTTTAGTTTATTTCCCTGAGTTAAAAGAAACCATGTTTCCTTTTTTTTCCTTTTAGTTTGTTTCCCGAGATGAAAGAAACAAAAGCTCCGGGGAAAGCGACAGCTAATTCTGTGAGCTATAATGAAGAAAAAAAAAGCCGGCAATTGCATTTAAAAATTGGCATCGACATACACTTCGTATTGTGAACAAAATTCATAAACCTAGGCATTATTGTCAATGGATTTTCATTCGTAAACCGAAAATTACATAAACCGAGGCATTTGTAAACTGAGGTACACCTGTATTACCAATTCTCCAAGGATATGCAAACTTTTGAGCACAACTGTATATCCAAATGATTACATGGAATATAAAGAATTATACTGAATTGATATTATTCCTGAAAAAAAAACACCAGAGGCCCTGATGTATGAGTAAATGCACAGAAAAATGGAAAGGCCCAGACATAACTAAAAACATTGTCCGAAGTTCTAACCATTCCCAACACTAAAACTAAATAAATGTTTTGGCTGAATTTGGATCTAGGCTAGGTTCACATTTGTGTGGGCGAGTACCGCTGCGGGAACGCACCTGTTCCTGCTACCACACACACAGAAAAATGCAGGCGCTGTGTACGTGTCTCATTAATGCCAATGTCACGCCACGTGCACTGGAAATCGCTCCTGCACTGGGAAGTGCACTGCGCTTGAGGTTTCCCGTGCGGGCTGTAATTTCTAAAATGCTGCAAGGACCTTTTCCTTGCATTTCAGGAGGCATGGCAGCCCATTCAAATGAATCGGCTACCATTCCCAGGCAAACCGTGGCTTGCAGAGCCGCACAGATGTGAACCTAGCCTTAGCCATGACTATCTATAGTGATCTATATAGGCTGCATGGGTATAACCATGTAGATGATCACCTTGAATACCCCCACAGATTGTGAAGCGGCCCATACATTATACCGTTTTTTTTCAGTTAAACCAGTGGGTTGAATGTGTAAAAAAAAAAAAAAAAAAAAAATGACCCGATTTCTCTATCCACACATTTGATGTGGACATAGAACACAGTAGCTCAGTGGGAGCGATTTCTGACAGCGGGGAGACTTCCTCGCCATCAAAACACACTGATCAGTGCTGCCTGCTAAAGCCAGTGGGGCTGACTGAATTGCATTAATCAAACAGGGTGCCCATACATTTACTGAAATTTGGCCACTCCCTGTGGACTGGCTGAATTTTGATCCATGTATGGCCGACTTTAAGCTATACTGGCAAGTAACCTGACTGAACATTTCCAAGAAAATACTAATATATTGTACTAGATTAATAAAATTAACTAAATGTTATTAACATAAATAGATACACAAAGAGAGACATTTACTATGTCTGAAACAGACAGAATCTGTAGATGCAGAACTACAGTTGTACATAACAACCAATCAGCTTCTAGCTTTCAATTTTAAAGTTTAATTAAAAAGCTGAAGTTGTAAGCTGCTTGATTGTCATGCATAGCTGCTAGATTCTGTCTGTTCCTGTTTTAGTAAATTATACCAGAAAACACCAAAGTACCACGAAGACAAAGCACTAAGCCAAGACAGGATTACTGTTCTACACTGCACGCTTTCCCTGTCAGCCTTACCCCACTCTCAAAGAATAATATCATTTCAAATAGAAAATGCTCTCAATATGTAAATTTTACATTGGTTGTACCACTTGGCCCACCCCAAAATGACGTACTTGCGGTGTTGAATTAAAAAGAGCTAAAGCCCAAATCCAAGAAACTTAATTATCCCTTGAATCCTTTGCAAGGCTGACTGCTCATTTACGTTTGGGGTACATAAAAAAAAAAAAAAAAAGATCTACTTACCTGATCCTCTGTGCTGCTAGACAGGTCCCTGCAGCATCTTCTTTCCATGCTTCACTGGTCTAAAGTCCTGACATCATCAAGACCAATGCAGGGTCCATAACCCTACACTGAACATGAGTATGCAAGGGGAATAGTCCACCTCTGGAGTGTGGGGGAGCACCATCTGCCAGGGGAGAGGAAGATCAGGTAAGTTAAAGCGCTTCTCCTCTCCCCTAGATTAAACAAGCAGGTAATCCTTGCAGGATGGGCACAGCTCCACAGCAGGGGGAATTTTCAGATTTCCTGGATGTGGGCTTTAATAGATAACCTAGTATGTTTGCAAGCCAGCAATCTTCTATCCATTACTGCAAGCAGCGTGTTTCTTGAGGTCTTCTATCTATAACAGGAAACCAAACAGAAGGGACCCATGATGTATTTCTCCAGTTACACCTGTCCATACAGTCCTTTGTCAGACAGGTAGCGTATTTACAGCTGAAAGTACAATTCTATCAAGAACAAACACAGCAACTCCTGACTGCATACAGATCTGTAGACTTTATGAATCTCAGGTTCCATATATTTCCTTTAACCTTTTCATTAGATCCTGCCTTGTCATATTTCTGTTTTACCTATAGTTTATGTCTTGAAACTCTGGGCCTTCTTCGTGGATTATAAAGTAAGAACTGTGTGACTTGTCAAGCAGCGAATTTCATGAAACAGGTTATTCTTCAGAAAAGGTTTCAAAGTGAGAGAAACAGGTTACTGTGTGCAACCAAGCTCTCTTTTAGAAGCTAATAAACAAAATCCATAGTGAAAAAGAAATGCTTGTGCTATGTTATGTTTGCGTTGCTTACATTTGCCTAGTTTGCCGGAGATCCTGATGACTGTAGGCTTTCTTAATATAACAGGAGGACCTGGCTGTTCCTTCTCAGTCTCATCCTTGGAAAACAGCTGGAATGGATCTGAAAAAATAAAATGCATTCTTTTGGAAATCAAATGTTGCAATGTTTAGCAATTCCCTGAGTTTGCCAGAATTTAAGAGTTGTTAAAAATAAATAGCCAACAGTAAAGACACAGACACATAACTGCTTTTAAACTGTCTAGAGCAGTGGTGGGCAACCTTTTTTTTCAACTGAGCCAAATCTCGCCAAAACCATGATTGAAATTTATTTTGAGAGCCACATTTTTAAAACTGAAAATACATCTCCCATATAGTAATTCATCCCCCATAGTAATTCATCCCCCATATAGTAATTCATCCCCCATATAGTAATTCATCCCCCATAGTGTAATTCATCCCCCATAGTGTAATTCATCCCCCATAGTAATTCATCCCCCATATAGTAATTCATCCCCCATATAGTAATTCATCCTCCATATAGTAATTCATCCCCCATAGTAATTCATCCCCCATATAGTAATTCATCCCCCATAGCAATTCATCCCCCGTATAGTATTTCATCCCTCGTATAGTATTTCATCCCCCGTATAGTATTTCATCCCCCGTATAGTATTTCATCCCCCATATAGTATTTCATCCCCCATATAGTATTTCATCCCTCATATAGTATTTCATCCCCCATATAGTAATTCATCCCTCATATAGTATTTCATCCCTCATATAGTATTTCATCCCCCCATATAGTATTTCATCCCTCATATAGTATTTCATCCCCCCATATAGTATTTCATCCCTCATATAGTATTTCATCCCTCATATAGTAATTCATCCCTCATATAGTATTTCATCCCCCCATATAGTAATTCATCCCTCATATAGTATTTCATCCCCCCATATAGTATTTCATCCCCCCATATAGTATTTCATCCCTCATATTAGTAATTCATCCCTCATATAGTATTTCATCCCCCCATATAGTATTTCATCCCCCCATATAGTATTTCATCCCCCCATATAGTATTTCATCCCTCATATAGTAATTCATCCCTCATATAGTATTTCATCCCTCATATAGTATTTCATCCCTCATATAGTATTTCATTCCCCCATATAGTATTTCATCCCCCCATATAGTATTTCATCCCCTCATATAGTATTTCATCCCTCATATAGTATTTCATCCCCCCATATAGTATTTCATCCCTCATACAGTAATTCATCCCTCATATAGTAATTCATCCCCCATATAGTATTTCATTTCATCCCTCATATAGTATTTCATCCCCCCATATAGTATTTCATCCCTCATATAGTAATTCATCCCCCCATATAGTATTTCATCCCCCCATATAGTATTTCATCCCCCCATATAGTATTTCATCCCTCATATAGTAATTCATCCCTGATATAGTAATTCATCCCCCATATAGTATTTCATCCCCCCATATAGTATTTCATCCCTCATAAAGTAATTCATCCCTCATATAGTATTTCATCCCCCACAGTACTATTCCCCCCCCCCCCTTCTAGTAAGCCAAGTCCCCCGTGTCAATTCACTTACCTTTGCGTTCCTCTCGCTGTCTCCCCGCCGTTCGGGTCTTCAGGGCGGACTGTGAGAGGAGCCTAGCTCCCCTCTCCCTCACGTTCGGCACGCTGCCCCGCCTACACACATCCTGACAGCCACATCCGCAAGCCGGATTAAAAGGTCCGCGCGGACTTTTGGGGCTGCCAACCGAGAGGAGGCAGGGGAGCGGCCCGACCGAGAGGAGGGAGGGGAGCAGGCGCCCGGCACACAGAAGAGCCGCATTAGACTGGGTAAAGAGCCGCATGTGGCTCGCGAGCCGCGGCTTGCCGACCACTGGTCTAGAGAAAGAAAAAGTTAAAAACAGAGTAATGAAAGAAACATAGTAAACATGTGTATCAGCTCTTACCAGAATTTGCTTTGGAATCATTATTAACATCTGGACTTGGTAACACAGGAGGTAAAGCATCGTCATCAAAGCTGATCAGATCTAATTCACCCACTGACTTGCTTTGTGTGAATTGCGCAGGTGTTCGGGTTGCAGGAGTTTCCACTGCATTAAATGCTTTGGCTTGAGTCGCTATAGAGAATTTCGGAGCAGGAATCAATGGTTTGGCTCCTACCGGTACTAAGTTATCAGTCTGCAAGGTTTTTTTTCGGTAGCATAGGCCTTGGAGCAGGAACTGGGATTGTCCTGTCAGACTCTTTACTGTTAATTCCAGACAAAGAAGTTCCAAGGAGTACATCAGGGATGTCACCACTGCTGCTTTTTACAACACTTGACTTTGGTTTCTTTGGCAGCTCTGGTTTGGTCACACCACCAGAATCTGATAGAATGGTTGGGACTAGTCCTTCTCTTGGTGTGCATTTTGGTTTATTGTCCTTTCCTGGTTCCCATTCTCCAGATGTCCTATTAGAAAATGGTTTGGGAGCTACAGAAGGCTTACCAGGAACACCACTTCTAGTGTTGATGGAGCGTGGAGCAATTTCTGGTCTTCGAGGATGTTCAGTACTTTCACCTTGAGACTCAAAGGCTTTAATTCGTGCCGTAATACTGTTTTGGCTTCTTTCATGGCTCATATTGTTCATTTCAAATAATTCCTCTAGGAAGTTATCATCAAAACCTGGACAAGATTGACTGGATGGCAGTTCTCCCTCAGCTGTGACCTGAAAGAACTCACTGTTTCCTTGAAAGATACTCAAATGATTTCCTACAGGCTTAAGATTTGGTTTTGTCCTTGGTCTTGGCACTGGATATCTGATGATATTTGGGACATTTGTTTCTTCGTGTCGGGTGCTGGTCCCAGCAGTGTTACTGATTGCTATCTGGTGACCACTGTCCTGCACATTGTTTTTCACAAATGGTAATGGCTGCCGGGGTCTCTCTGGCCTTTCTGTTCTTTGCACTAAAAATAATAACAATATTCATGATTATTGTGCAAACATGAATATCAAAATATTTAGTTTAAAGCAGAACTCCAGCTAAAAATAACAAGATAAAATATGAATAGTCCTAATTAAAGTGACACCATACACATACCCCATAAAAACCTTTATATGTTCTGCCAAAGTATTCATGTTTGTGTAATTCATTTAAAAAAATTAAACTGCTAGGTACCTGTATGCCATAGCTGTAGACAGTGATCACGTGATTCATATCTAATACTGAACAGAGTGCTGGGAGAGATCATAGGAGGAGCTTTCATTCCTCTCTGATGTATCTGTGTCTAGACAGCGCTGACTGGTGCTGTACTGGTCACATAACCCCCCCAGAAAAAAAGACTAATGATACAGAAAAGAAAATATAGATTTAACATTGCATCCTTGTATAAAATGATCATACAGGTATATATTTGAAATCCAAGCTTTGTTATTACTCAGCAACAACATGGTGTGGGTGGAGTTGCATATCAATGATAATCTCTTTCACTATCCCACCCACTGTATTTTTTGCTAGTTAGTGGGCATGGAGGAAGAGTGGATGTGGTCTGTCATTCATCATCTGTATATACCAGTGTCGCCAACCTCCCAAAGTGAAATTTACTGACAGGACACAAAAAATGTACAACAGCACAATTTTTTTACTGACACATGGAATTTACAGACAGGCGCAATTCTTTTTGCTGAACCGTAATAAATAAGTACATAAAATGACCAGTTTCAGTGCAAATCAGTGCAATATAGATCAATATTTAAGCTACAAACATAAGTAGTGTGATTAGCAATCTGGTTAAGGTATAACAAAAGCCAAAAAAATTTCTCCTTTTACAATGGGTCAGAATAAAGTGTTACTAAACCCACAACAGTAAAATCAGTCTGTATATGCAGTAAAGCATGCTTGTTATACTCATACTCACCATGGAACCTAAGGGGTTAATCCTTTGCATTGTGTAAAAAGGCTTTTTGATCCTGTCTTTTCTGCCCTCCTCTTGTTGAAATGACCACCTGATACAGACTGAATCGTACTCACATGCACATGCTCAGTTTGGTGTGTATTGCTAGAGATGTTTTTTTTTTCTTGGGAACGTGCATGTGATCAGCACAGGACCAATCAGCACTGTCCAGGCAGAGGGTCAGGACTTTCACATCCTCCTAGAACAGAAAGAAAACTCCTCCTACAAGCTTTAACCAGTGCTCTGCTGAAGTCACAAGACTGCTCTAACTGCTGATGAGAAAAGGTATTTAGCAGTTTATATTTACTAAAATAATTGCATTTCCATGTTGTGTGTACTGTGGGAGACCAGATATAGTGAATACAGTGTAATGGGTTTAGTAACATTTTAATATAACCCAGCACAGAGTTCTACACACAGAGTTCCCCTTTATATCAGAGTCTGCAGGGTTCCCTTTTTATAGTGCAAGGGGGAAACTCTGTGGACCCTGACATAAAAGAGAACACGGTGGATTCTGATGTAAAGGGGAATGCAGTAGACTCTGGTGTAACTCCAAAGTAATGGTGGGCTCTGGTCACCAGATTCCCCCCGCGCCCCCCTTAAAAATGAGTCAAGTGCACAGAGCTCCCCTTTACCTCAGTTACCACAAAGTTCCTTTACATCAGAGTCCACGAAGTTCCCCTTTACATCAAAGCAAACAGAGTTCCCTCTTTCATCACAGTCCACAAAGTTCCTCTTTACATCAGAGTTCCCACTTTAGATCAGGGTAAACAGAGTTCCCTTTGCACTGTAAGGGGGAATCCTGCCAACTCTGATGTGAAGGGGAACTCTGAGGACACTGATTAAAAGTGGAATGTTGGGAACTGGTATTTGTGTGTATGTGTGGACTCTGGTGACCACAGACCACCTTCACAAAATAAATACACTAGAGTAAGGGAGGTGATCGATACAAGGAGGAACCTTTACATCTTAGTGTATTCACTCCCCCCTTTAGACTGTGGCCTGGCTGTCACTGACCTCCTCTCAGGTGCACTGTACAGGGTAGGCTCATTGTTTGACAATGCTGCTCTGTGGAATCGGCAACTGAATTGGGAACAGTGAAGGAAGGCAGCTGGCAGAATCAACCAGGTTTTATACACTATACTGAGGATTAACCCCTTAGGTGCCAAAGTGACTATGACAAGGATGCATTACTGCATGTGTGACTCTTTAAAAATCAAATTAAAAAAAAAAAAAAAAACCAGATGTTGCTGCAATAGTAACCTTAATCTAGAAATTTCCTCTATAATGGTTTTTTCTAACGCTAGATGTCCGCAGTCTGATGGTCAACACCATTTAACCGACATTATGTATTAAGTATAATTTAGAAAAAAGAAAAGATCCCATACTTCTCTTTTAAATATATACATAACAGCTGCGCTGTCCCTTTAAATGTATACTACGCCTAAAAAAGGGGTCTAATGCAATAATTACTCAATTCATACACAAATAAATGAAGTGCTAAAGTGAAACAAATCGTAAATATCACATAAAAATGCTATTATGCAAGTCAAAAAAAAGTGCTTTGTGCGTATCAAAAAAAAATAAAATATTCCAAGTAAATTTATAAATAAACTGGAGATTCAAAACATCCACACCAAATTGCTGAAAAACAAGTACCAACAAAGTGATTCTGTGCAATTAATTAATTAAATAAATATATAAACCAAGTCCCACAAAGTTCATAGATCATTGGATGAAATAAAAAATACACTGCAACTTCACCGCTGCGCATCCACCACCACCAGAAGTAGCTTCTTACCAAATACATTAACCTTCAGATTACAAGACGTTATATAAGCAGGTAACACTCCTCATAAGAATCAAGGCAAAGGTCTGGCTCCCACTGTGCAGCTATCTCCAGGACTCCAGCACGTCCTCTCCCAGGTCTGGCTCAGGCACTCAGAGAGAAACAAACCACAAAAGCCATGGTCCAATATCTAAACTTAAAAGGTTTATTACACTGTACAGGTACTCCCAAAACATTAGCTTCAAAAAGAATTAAAACAGCACCGCCGCTGGAGCAGCAGCGTGCACGATGATGTCATGTATAGCTCTGCCCAGCTCCACCAATCTTCATCTGGCAGATCAAGATTGATTTAAGATTTAACTTGGACAGTGTATGAGACTTCTACTTAATCACTTTCTACTTCACATGTATAGCATTTGGGACTTTATTTAGGACAAAATTTTATTTGCATTATTGTATTTGCGGTCTTATATCTACTTTCACATTTGACGTCTGGAGCGCTTTACTTTTATCTGATTGATAGGTCTTTCGCCCTGCCAAACACGGCTATGTTGTGTGACAGAAGCGCAAATCTCAGAACCGGATGGACAGAAATACAAATGGCAAGTAAAACAACTCCTTTATACAGTTGTGTTCAAAATAATAGCAGTGTGTTGAAAAAAGTGAATAAAGCTCAAAATCCTTCTAATAGTTTTTATTTCCAGATACACAAATGCATTGGGAACACTACACATTCTATTCCAAATCAAAACATGAAGAAAAATATATCAAATTTGTGTTGTTCCTCTAAAAAAATTTAAGAAAAGTGAATATTAGACTGTTCAAAAAAATAGCAGTGTTTGTATTCTTCTTTACAAACTCAAATATTCACTATATAAACTGAAAAATGTTTGAAGATTTTGCTTTCCTTTTAATCAATTAATATTTACTTGTAGAAGCACTGTTTCTGAGAACTGCTGTATATCTCTGTTGCATGGAGTCAACCAACTTCTGGCACCTGTGAACAGGTATTCCAGCCCAGGATGATTGGACTACATTCCACAGTTCTTCTCTATTTCTTGGTTTTGCCTCAGAAACTGCATTTTTCATGTCACCCCACAAGTTTTCTATTGGATTAAGATCCGGGGATTGGGCTGGCCACTCCATAACGTCAATCTTGTTGGTCTGGAACCAAGATGTTGGACGTTTACTGGTGTGTTTGGGTCGTTGTCTTGTTGGAACACCCATTTCAAGGGCATTTCCTCTTCAGCATAAGGCAGCATGACCTCTTCAAGTATTCTGATGTATTCAAACTGATCCATGATCCCTGGTATGCGATAAATAGGCCCAACACCGTAGTATGAGAAACATCCCCATATCATGATGCTTGCGCAACCATGCTTCACTGTCTTCACAGTGTACTGTGGCTTGAATTCAGTGTTTGGGGGTTGTCTGACAAACGGTCTCTGCCCACTAGACCCAAAAAGAACAATCTTACTTTCATCAGTCCACAAAATGTTGCGCCATTTCTCTGTAGGCCAGTCAATGTGCTCTTTGGCAAATTGTAACCTCTTCAGCCCATGTCTTTTTTTCAACAGTGGGACTTTGCGGGGGCTTCTTGCAGATAGCTTGGCTTCACATAGGCGTCTTCTAATTGGAACAGTACTCACAGGTAACTTTACACCTTCTTTGATCTTCCTGGAGCTGATTGTTGGCTGAGTCCTTGCCATTTTGGCTATTCTTCTATCCGTTCGAATGGTAGTTTTTCGCTTTCTTCCACGTCTTTCAGGTTTTGGTTGCCATTTTAAAGCATTTGCGATCATTTTAGCTGAGCAGCCTATCATTTTCTGCACTTCTTTATATGTTTTCCCCTCTCCAATCAACTTTTTAATCAAGGTATGCTGTTCTTCTGAACAATGTCTGGAAGACCCATTTTCCTCAGAATTTCAGAGAGAAATGCACTGTAACCAACATGTACAACATTTGCTGCCTTCCTTCCTTAAATAAGGGCAATCATTGCCACCTGTTTTTCAAAGAATGAATGACCTCTCTAATAGAACTCCACACTGCTATTATTTTGAACATGCCCCTTTCAATTAGTGATTCAATTACACAGAATCAGCAGTATGCATGTCATGACTGTTGGGTCTGTTGGATTTCTATTACTCTACTACACCTGCTAGAGAATTATTTGTCATGTAGAAATATCATTTTCTACCAAAAACAGTGATTGATCAGGTTAGTGATGTCTGACTGCTATTATTTTGAACACAACTGTAAATACTGTATTTCATCTGTCTCTAAAGTACTTTATTATTTTTCAACTTTAAGTAATTTGTCAGAAAACAACCCCTTTGAAACCCCTCTCTCACCCTGTCCTAGGCACCTCTGTCCTAGTTTCTTTATTTACGTTTACCACCACTCAGATCCCTCCTGCTACTCCTGCAAAATAAATGGCAATTACACATTGAATGGTATGTTCCCCATCCCCATGACACAGAGCTGGGGCAAACTGATAATCAAGCTACAACTGCTGCAGATGGCAGCAGGGATCTGTGCGGCAGAGTATATCTAAATATAGGCACTGGAGGAAGGTTTTACAATAATATAAGCAATAACAGCGAAGTCTGTAATGTATTAAAAGTTCTTGTGTTACATTTGCAATAGTCAAGGATAACAAGGAAGCCTGAAAACAATGGACTCCGCAGTAATGCTTGGTAGCGAGAAAACATGTCATATTATCTGCCAAGGCTGGGAGACCGGTAGTAATCACAGCCCAAGTGACCTTACCTATCTGCCTATTCAGGCAAAAAATATACCTTATTTCATCAATAACAATATGATTTGGCAATCCTAACATAGCCTTACTGGTTCAAGAGAAGTTTAAATTTTAATGAAAAGTCCACTTTATGGTTCAAATATGGATGTGGTTGTCCACCCTGAACTTTTATTCATGTGAAAACGAAGCCTGCACTAGTGAAGCACACATAAAATTGATGCATGCTTCAACCACACCCTGTCATTTCAGGGGAGAAACCTGTTTTGTGATTAGTGACCTTTTAATGGTAAATGAATATAGTGTCAGAAAAATGCTTCTTAAACAAATGTGTTTCTAACTGTACATGTGTGTACCACAAGTAATTTGAAGAGAGCTATGACACAGCTTTAAGAAAAAAAGTCAGTGCACCCTCTTTCATAAATATATATTATTTGCTGTGCAATGTAGAAGTTTATCAGCTAATTCATGTACAACAAAAATTTTAAACCTACCTGTGATTGTGGCTTGATCACAGAGAACAGGCTGATGAATTACATTATTGCCGGGCCCAGGGCGATCATCTTCCAAAGGAAAGTCTGTCTGTGTAGCACACGTTGTTGTCCGCCTGGGCTCAACATTAGCACTGGGTGTGGTAACTTGGACTTGGTTGATTTCTTTTATGACCTGCTCATAGGATGGAGGCTGCATCACAGATAAGAAAGCAATTGTTACAATGTAGGCAGAGAAAAGCATAGCTTCACAGGGCTCCTTTGCACTGATGCAAATATAGTAACTAAAGTAATAACGCACTTATAATTTTTCAGTATTGAATATATCCAAACCTTGAGGCCTTTTTCACACGAAGGGTCTGATCAGGTCCACCTGTCAACTTTTCAGGTGGACCCAATTGGACAGTTCATTTACCTCTATGGACCAGTGGGTGTAAATGGACTTTTGTCGAAGGGCTGTCCATAGAGTGGAGTGGGTTGTTGTGATTGGGTTTTACCGGCCACCCAAAGCTTTGTGTCATGACTAATATGTTGTGTTGAGTTGACAGGTGGCACTCTGTCTGGCAAACCCAACCACTGAAGTCAATAGGAGCAAACCAAAACCGTTAACCAAACACCTGGTTTGTAGTTGCGGCACATTAGTCCAACTGAAAATTGGCCTTTGGGAAATAAAGCAGGCATTCAGGAGGCACCACGATAGCCTCCTGAATGCCTGATAGCGGCAGTTTAGCCACATTCTGAAAAGTAATTCACTGGGGAACTTTGTCTAATGCACAATAGAGACATTACCGCAAAGACTACCAATTGAAATGTGCATTGTAAAATACTAACGTACTTTTAGGTAATATGTCAACAATACTGCAATTTGATTTTTTTTTTTAACACCTTACAAGTTAATTCATGTTCTGGATTTTTATCTTTTGTCAATAAATCCGATGTATAAAAAAATAAATATTATGAAACAGAAAAAATATTAACTACTACTGACCTCTGGATGATGGGAATCACTGGGTCTCCACTGAGGTGGGGGTGGAGGAGGAAACCCTAGCCCCCCTGCTGGACCACCATGAAACCAGGATCCAGGACCAATAGGCTCAGCAGCAACAATTGTGATCTCAGGACGTCTACAGTAAGAGCATACAGAAGTAAGGCTCTGTATAACAATGTAGTTTGACAATACGTAAAATACATTTATCTAGCTGGTAGTGGTTGTGAGTTATTGCCATAGTTCCAAATAACCCAATTATTTCCGATCAGCCAGTACAGTTTACTTCACATAGATCATCTTTGTTTGCAAATACAGTATATTAGTAAAACCTTTTAGATCTACAATTAAAGGTTTGCTTTATTAGTTTACTAATAAGTAATTTTGCTCATCCCTAAAGGATATACAGTTTATAACAAGTAAAGGATAAATATAACAGATTTTTTTTTTATAAAAGAAGAAAAAAACTGAATAATTTATGTATGAAAGGCTAATATAGATCATTTAGGAGGAAGCATGTGAGGCATTAGTGAATGTCGATTAACATATTAAATACGCAAAAAAAACTAGGTTTGTGTTTTTAAAAAGGTACCTGAACCTGATTAGAAACATTTTAAAGGACAAGACCTTTAATAAGGATCTTCAGCAATAAAATTTAAATGGCAAAATGTTCTATAAACCTGAATATGGTTGACTTCTCCAAGTGTGAAATTGGTTATCTGTGTGTCATAACTAGGCCACAACTAAGCCCTGTATAGCTAGGTCTGTATGCTCTATGCAACCACAGGAGCCCACATTGCTACTAATAAGTTGTTGGTAATTCATAATGGACTGCAGCAGTCAGATAAACACCCTATTCCTTAAAGACTATAGTGCACTGCCTAGTATCCAGAACTGGCAAAAAAAAAAAAGGGTCAGTGTAAGAACTCTGCAGGGATATTGTACAGACATAAGTAGCTTGCTTCAATAGCAGGATTCATTGAAACAAATATACAAAACACTAATCCTGTCTATACAGGTAAAATAGCATAAATTTGTCATAAAAATGTGAGAAACACAGAATATAAGTGGCAAACATAACACCAAAACAGGATTGAACAGAACAGTATTAATTTTTTGATATCTTTAAACATTGCATTTTCTTCCTTAAAATAAACCTATAGTCATAGGAATTATATCAGGGTGAGCCTAGGATGAAAGCAAGGCAACATAAAGTGCCTGAGATACATAGAAAGAATCTTAAGGTAAGTAAATGTATGTGTCCTGTGAATAAGATACCTCCCACAGCACTGCTAGAGCCCACTTGTTTCCTCTTGATTTGCATAGTCCTGGGCCAACCAATAAGCTGCTCAGGCACTGAGTGTTGCATTGTGGGACAAGGGAGGGTGTCAACATGCTCCCTACATGCACCAGATGTCCCAAATTTTTTGAAGGCACTATTGCCATAGTGTCAAGGATTTGAAAGTTGTGGTACACTCTGGTAACCTTCATATTTTTGGTATTAAAGTGAAACCTCTGTTTTTTCTCTTCCTCCCCCTCTCACTTTTGGAGTTTTTTGTTTCTAGCAAGTGGGTACCTATTTCTGAGAGGTACCCACTATACTTCCGCTCAGATTGCCTAGACCACGGATGTCAAACTGGCGGCCCTCCAGCTGTTGCGGAACACCAAGTCCCATCATGCCTCTGCCTTTGGGAGCCATGCTTGTAACTGTCAGCCTTGCAATGCCTCATGGGACTTGTAGTTTAGAAACAGCTGGAGGGCCACCAGTTTGACACCCCTGGCCTAGACTATCCAAGCGGAAGTTTTTTTTGTAGCTTGGAAAACTTGGATTTTTGTACTCATCGTAAAATCCATTTCTTGGAAGGACTCTTGAGGGACAGTCTTAAACCTTATATTGTCACTTACAGGGGAAGTGGACACAAGCAAACTGTAGTCCAGGCCAGGAAAACCCTTCAAACTATCAGTTGGCCTCAGTTTTGTAGCAAAGCAGTACTGAGAGCATGGCCATAAGCAAAGAGGGGTGGTACAATGGATGAATGGATTCTTAAGAATTTTGTTGTCACCATAAAAAAAATTTCAATTTTTTTCTCATCCACTGAGGGACACTGGAAGTCTTAAACCTTCAAAACATCTCAAAGCACTCCAACCAAGGAGTGGATAATACAGCAAACAGGCTCAAGGTAACAGAAAACTAGGGACTGCCTGCAGCTCAAAGAGCCACCTGAAGGACATTAAGCTCAAAGCTGGCATCATATCATCATATGAGACTTAAATGCCTGTCTGGTAAAATTTGGAGAACGTGCGAACAGACGTCCAGGCGTCAGCTTTCCAAATTTGGGAAACAGTTGCCTCTCATATATAATAGTATATAGTGAGTCTTAACAGGAAAGAGGCAAACCTAATATTTGAGACCACTAGCCTGATAAATGGTCTGTTTCAGCCATCTAAAAATTGTGGAATGAGGAGCCATGGGTGCTTTTGGCTGAGACACAGACTCATGCAGTCCATACATACAGACAATGGGGGAAATTTTCCTTTTAGTGAACTAGAGCCAGATACTGCAAATGTTCTGGAGTACAATATCGTGTCTTGAGGTGGAAGACAGAAATCCACCCTTAGCAGGAAAGGAATTTCCTGTCTTCAGTCTTGGGTCTCAACACCACCTTGTCCCTATGTAGGACCACAAAGGTTGATGAGGCTGTCAGTTCACAAATTTACCTCGTTGAGGTGATGGTTACAAGGAAAACCACCTTCTGGGTGAGGGTAGAAAGGAATGTCTCTAATGGGTTTAAATGGTGGTTTCTGAGGCACAAAGAAAGAACCAGATTCAAATTCCACTTGTCGTTGGGGAACAGAGAGGCGGGCTACACACAAGCCCCCTGCACAAAAAAGAGTGAGAAGTAAAAAAAAACCTGAAACAGAATGGAAAGGGCAGAATCTGAACTTTGTTAGTTCTGAGAGACAGAGAGGAGAGGATTCATCCCATGGAGAAGATTCCTGGGTTAAAGTCCATAGACTGATACCATTTTAGTCAGCCTTCCACGTCTGATGATAAACCTTGTGGGAAGTAGCTTTCCCAACCTTGAGCATCATAGTAATCATAAGCTCAGAGATGCCCTTGTCCACAGAGATGCCGTGTGCTCATGCAGGAGATATGCTGCTAGTAGAAAGTGTTATCCTGGGCTAGCCTACATTTTTTTTCCAGTGTCCAATTTTTCTTAAGGCTGCAGCTTAAACCAAAATTTTAAGAATTCCTGTTTTCCTCAATGGTCAAAAAGAAAAAAGTGTTATTTGACAGAAAATGTATAACATTTATGCTTTTCATAGCTACAGATATACAGTATGTATAATGCAATATTTTCAGTATGCTCCAAGTAAGCTATGCAGTTTTTTGATGGCCCTTTTGTTAGATACACCTATCTAATGGGTAGGGTCAACATCTCCCCTTATCTTCAGAACTGCCTGAATTGTTCACTCCATGGCTTCAACAAGGTGGTGCATGTGTTCTTCAGTTTTCTGATGCCGAGTTGAATTTCCTATGCTTAGCTGACAAAAGTTGAATCTGTCATGGTTTTCTGTTACTATAGTTCATCCTCTTCAATGTGTGACATGATGAGATGCCCTTTTGCACACCACTGTAGTTTAGAGGGAGTTATTTCAGCAGTTGTGGGTTTCCTACCAGCCTGAACAAGTTTGCCCATTCCCTTCTGACCTATTAATGAGGTGTTTTTCACCACAAAACTGCTGCTCACTGGATGTTTTTCACATCATTCTCTGTAAACTTTAGAGACTTTAATGTGTGACAGTCCCAGGAGGTGAACGGTGTTTGCGATGCTACAACTGCCATGACTGGCACTAATAATCATTCTACAGTTAAAGTAATTTAAAACACACTTGCTCCACATTCTTATATTTCGCTAAACAACAGAAACTCTTGACCAGTCTGTGTGCTTTATTTATTGAACTGCATCCACATGATTTACCATTTAGCTCAGAGTTTATGTGCATTTGTGCCACAGCATGTAAACAACAAAAAAAGAAAAAAGAAAAAAGGACATGATTGACAGCATTACCTCCTATCTCTTTGCTGTTCACTTTGTGCAGTAGTTCTGGAAGCTGCAAGATAAAAAACTAAATTTAAAATATTACACATACATGCAGATTTGCCTATTAAAATTTAAAACATACTTTGAGCTACCATACGTAAAGGGTTATTTTATAAAGTAAAATGCACAATGCTTTGTGTCAACTGATTATGAACAATTGCTATTGGGTCACCGCAGTATGTGAGAGTATTTACACAACTTGTAATAAGATAGTGAAAATTACAAACAAGACAAACAATGGAATGCAAGCTGTAAAAACAAATGGCTACAGCGATTACCACAAACCTGCCACACAAGACATATTGATGCTCTAAAATGTGTGATATTTTAAGGTTTAAGATACCAGGGCATATGGGGAAACATTGTTGGAAATAGAGAACTCTAGTATTCTAGATGGAAACTGGGCTTTGCCAACATTTCTAGCAGATACTCCAGCGTTCTTCTCTGTCAGTGCAAATCTATGGGCAGCACAGTGGCTAAATGGTTAGCACTTCCTCCTGGCAGTACTATGGTCGTTGGTTCGAATCACAACCACAGCACCACCTGCCTGGAGTTTGCATGTTCTCCCCGTGCCTGTGTGGGTTTCCTCCGGGTACTCCGGTTTCCTCCCACACTCCAAAGACATGCTGGTAGGTTAATTAGATCCTGTCTAAATTGGCCCTAGTATGTGTATGGATGAATGTAAGTTAGGGACCTTAGATTGTACGGCCCTTGAGGGTTAGGGACTAATGTGAATGTACAATATATATATGTAAAGAGCTGCGTAAATTGACGGCGCTCTACAAGTACCTGAAATAAATAAAAAATACATTAAAAAATCTATGCCGTTTATTGAGGGCATGCAGTTCATTCCACACATATGTATATTTTGACATTTGTCCTCTGAAGATCAGTTTACCTGGCATTTGCCTAAACCAGGCCATACACGTACAATTTTCTGTCTTTCAGCCTGTGGGGCTAAATGAAAGAAATTCAACAGGTACCAAACAGTGCCTGCATCTGATTGGATACAGGTGCTATTTGGCTGACAATTTTATGCCTGGCTCCTTTGACAAAGTTGATTTAACAATCAACCTTTTTTGAACACAGCAGCACTGGCAGGGTCAAACATTGCTTGAATTTCGACTGAGCCAGCATGAATTTGAGCAGTGTGCGGCCAGCATAACATATGGCTGACAATCATAGATGCTATATTCTGATGCGAGTGAACTACATGAAACACAACCCAGTTTTTTAATAAAAATGCCAAAGTGAGGTGACTAGAAAACACAGTAGCTTACAGCACGCAATGAGATTTCAGCCCAATTTGGTAAAATGAGAAATCTGACTGGTTGTTAGTGCACTGCAAAGCCTCATTTGTCAATAAAAAAAAAAAAAAAGAAGAAGAAGAACATTGCCTGTATCCCTGTATATTATTGAGTATTGCAATTGCCAAAGCATACAAATCCCATTTCCACAAGTGAAACCACATGGGAATTCAAGCTTTCTCCAGGCAATGTATGTATAAAGAATTTTTGGGGGCCATGCAGGAAGAGGGTGTAGTCAGGCAAAGATTGTGTCACTCAATAAATAGTGCACTCTGTTAGATGATCCTAGCAAAACTACAGACATGTGGCTAAAGCTATGACTAGACTTTAAGAGAGCTTAGTCATTGCGTTTTGATGGAATCTTCCCTGTTAATGTACTCAGACAGAAAGCTTCTTTGGTACTTCAGACAAGTTCTAGTAAGTGTATTAGCCCCTGAATATCTAAAAGATAAATTCAATTATCCTTTTCTACCCTTCACCAGGGGTTTGACCATACCATATACACACTTGCTACGGTGCTGTCCACAGCCTTGTAAGCCAACAGACATGTTTTCCATTGACATGAATGGAGGCAGCGCACTTGTGCGAGTATAGCGCAGAGAATTTCTAGGCACAGTGAAGTTTTCTCGGCTGCATTGTCTATAGATGTAGTCAAAATGCTATGAGAGGGTAGGAGGTAAACTTAAAAGTGCACAGTAAAGTGCTGGTGCGCACTGATGCGGTGCAGGAAACTGCATGCGATTCAGACAGGAATCGCACCGCATTCCAATCACATGCAATTCCTTGCAGTGCGATTTGAACCCTTTCATTTTGTATGGCTCAAATCGCACTGCACCTGCACAAAAAAAAGCTGCATGCACCTTTTTTTGCCACACTGGAATCGGATCACATGGGTGTTCATGTCGGTAACTTAACATTGACATCTGCAGCAGTTTGCAAGAACGGAGTGCAACTGTGATGTGGTGTGGGGAAAACAAACACAGGAATCTCTGCAAATCCCACATCAGTGAACTGGGGCTAAAAGTCCAGGTTCTGCCGTTCAATTCTATGGAGCCTGTAGCGGCTCAAGGGCACAGGAGCATGGGTGCTTGGGGTTAAAAAAAAAAGTGAACACTGACCAGCATCTCTCAAGTCTACACAGTATAAAGAGGGACAAGCGCTGCAGCGAAGGTCAGATATTTTTTTTTTTGGAACAATAGCCACGAAAGGGGGGTGGGGCAGGGATATACACTTTTTTTTTATCTTAAAACCCTATTCTTTAAGTAAATAAAACATCAAAAATGCTAATCCAAAAGAGATATTTCAGTTACACTGATATCTGATTGGTTGAGGTGTTCACTAAGTACAGATCAGTAAAAGGAGAATTCTGATTGGTTGTTCTGGGTTAGTTCACTGTCCTATTTAATAAAATCACGCTGGAAAATTTTATGTTTGAGTGCAGTAATTTACATATGCAAGTACATACAAGTGTATACAGTACGTGTAAATTAAAACACTGGCAGCTACAAGAGGATGAAGAACACACGTTTGCCCGCCTGTACACAGGTATAGGCGAGTCTTTCTTCCAAGCTCCTGCATATAATCATCAGCAAGTTACTAGGCAAGAGACCTAATTGCTGAAATTACCAAATCCTGATGTAACATTTCAATAACAAGCTAAATCATTTCCCTTGCCACCATTGTTGGTTCTTTTCCTGTCCTTGCTACATTTTGTATATTGTAGAAAAAAATGGGAGCCTCTGGTAAAGGGTACACTGACTTCATGTCTTGCTAACAACTCTGTAAAGTTAGGGAGAATCACCAAAGTAGGGACACAAACCGCAAAAAAAAAAAAAAAAAAAAAAAAGAAGAGAGAGGGTGCCATCATCAAGGTGTAGATTTACTGAGATAAATGATAACAAAAATTATGAAATGAGTAGAGTGGTGACAAGGCAGAGTGCCAAAGGATTCCAGCCGGCTGCAGTGCATTCACTCCCTGGTCACTTCTCATACATACTCAGCTGCACCTTACCAGCTCCTCTTCTATCCCTGACCAATGACCATTCACCATGGGAAGACCAGCTATACCTGGGCTGTTTGATATGCAAATTACCATTTTACCACAGTGAGGGAGGACATACCATGCATTTTCCGTTTATCTTGATAAATCTACACTTAGAAGGTGGCACCCTCTCTTTCTTTTTTTTTGTTATATACATGTACCAGCTGGATTTACCCAAGACCCTGCTTTAGTGAGTTGCTGCAGCCATGACTGACAAAGTAGTCTTCATTTATTTATTGGACATAGAAGGACTTGTATTATTACAAGTTAGTTTTTGATTTATTTACTCATTTTGGCACTATCCTTGTGGATTGTTTGAGACACAGAGACTTGGTTCCAAAAGAGGAACATTTTGGAGCTAAGTGAGCCTAAAACGTAAATTGGCATGGTAAAAAAAACATCTAGATGTATTAAGTGTGACTAAGCAATACCCTGAGAAATCTTTTTTCTTGTATCTTTTGCCTTTCATTCCTCCTGAAAATTTGCAGTGCGGTGGTATGTGAGTGCCTGGGCACTCCGTACCTACAGCCTCATAAATGTACAGTATATATGCGGTGTGAGCTCTGCTGCAACTTACTGCTAGTCTCAAAAGACTTAGGCAGCCCATGCATTCATCATTTTTTTTCCGTTCAGCCTGCGGGTTGGACAAAAAAGAAAAAAAAAAAAAGATCCAATTTCCCCACCCACACATTTGATGTGGATGGGGGAATCCCTTTTTTGCTGTCAGAATACAATGATTAGTGCTGCCGGCACTAATCGATTGGGAAAGACCTGATGGGCTGGCTGTACAGAAGTTTATTGGTAGACTGACTTCTGTACAACCAGGGTGCCCATAGATGGATCGAAATGTGTCCAGTCCATGCTCAATTGGCCAAATTTCGATCCATGTTTTGGCCAGTTTTAATGAGATTTGGTGTAATAATTGCTGTTGTCCTTGCCAAAGGGTCAACATGAGAAAGAAAAAGTTGAAAGTTGGCCACTTTCATACAGACACACAAAGTGCAAAATAAGGCATGTAATTGGTGAAAGAGGAGTTTGCAAGGGGACAACAGGGAAGTTCCTTTTTTTTTTTCTTTTTTGAGACATAGCCTATGGAATTTAGTCTCTCTTTAAAGTGACTCACTTCTGAAAAAAAAATAAGTGCTTGTATACCAGTTAAATACCTGTCCCACTCCCCATGCTGTTTCTCCACTGCTGCCTTACATCTTCAGAATTCAGCATACATTCAGCATGCTTTGTGGTTCCTTCTGCTAGCTCATATGTCAATACTTTTTCTCAGGGTGGCATAGGGGACGTGGATAGAACCACAGAACACAGAGGGACAGGCATCTGGCTATTTTGGGATAAGATCCTTCAGGCAGAAGAAGCTCAAGTTCAGCTGAGTGGGCGGTGGAACGGTGTTCTTTTGCAGGCATTTCTTTCATTTTTTTTTTCCAGAAGGGTCAGAGTTGCTTTAATAAAGGTAATGTTTTGAAACGAAAGGGCACAAACAGCCTTCGGGTCTACTATGGCAACTGACATTCAAAGAGAAAATCTCAGCATGAGTTATGTACTTAAAAGAAAAAATAATAAAGGAAAATGTGCATTTATTATTCTTTCCTACAGGAGCCTGCAAAGCATTGCACCTGTAAATAGTGAATCATGGGTGCAATGTCAGGCTCCTGCACACTCTCCCTCCAGCTTTCTGCTCATACCTCTATATGGTTTCTTTCAGCTAGAAAGCTGGGGGAAGAGTGAATGGACTATGAGCCCTCATGCACACTTGATGTTTTTTAACAGCTGCTGTTTTTGATTTTTTATGTTTTTTTTCTACAGCTAGTACACCCCCCAGCATGTTATCCTATGTATCCATGTACACATAGACTGTAATCAACGTTTTTTGGCTGGAAAAAAACCCAGGACTAGTTGGTTTCTAGAGGAGTTTTTTTAGCTGTAAAAATGCTCTAACACTGAAAAACGTGCCAAAACGCAGTAAAACGCTGCAAAACAGCGTTTTTTTGACAAAAAAAAAAAAAAATTTTTTTGGCAAAAAAAAAACAAAGCTAAAACCCGCAAACGCGGGAAAACGCCACTAAACATGGGAAAACGCGCGGGGAAAACGCCACTAAACACTAATGCAAAAACGCTAAAAAAAGCTGAAAAACTCACATTTTTAACATGACTTTACACATCTAACGTTACCAGCATTATCAAAACGTCCAGGGTGCATGAGGGCTCAGTGTGCTGATCAGAATGCTTGTAGTCCATTGAGAACTACAAGCTGTCTGCCAAGGTGGACGATGGCACTTGTAGTTTATTCACAGATGCCTGTGAATGGAAGATTCAGCTGTGCCCTGCACAGCCATGGCAATTTTAAATGTGACAGTGGCACTGGGGAGAGGATCCCCTGCCCACTGTCACGGGGGGGGGGGAGGGGGAGCAGGAGCTAGAACATGGAACTATTGGGTGTAACATGTTTTTAAACTTAGCCTTTAAGGTCATGTCATTCAAAAATAAAACAATACAAAAATACTATAAATATTTGGCTAAAACAGATAGATGCAATGCAATCAGCAGGAAGAAAAGTACTTACTTCTCTTAATTACAGCTCGTATTGATGACAAAGGTCCTTGTCTGAAAAAAAAAAAAAATGGTTGGATTAGTGTCTTGATTTGGAACAAAACAACTTGAAACAAAAAGCACAAAAGCTGACTTGGTTCTTGCAAGCATTCCATCATTTTAAAAAAGAAAGTATTTCAAGCCAGTTTACTATGTTTATGCCAGCACTGTAAAATAATCTCCTGATCCCACCCTGGTTCAGCCCTCTGTAATGGAAACCAGAATCTTGAAAGAGAATCAGCTGCAAAACAAATAAAAAGCACAATTCGTACTGTTTTAATTGGATTACTTGTGTTGCTTGTTAAGAAGAAAAAGCAACGAATACACAGAGATGAACACACGGCACTCGCATTGCTGTTCTCAGGCTGCTTTGATGAGAAATCTGCTCTCTGCTGCAGGGAAAGCACTTGGGAGGATGAACTATGCGTTTATCTGTAAGAGAAGCTCGAGTCTCCAGATGACTCTTCCCATGAGATTCATACAAGATTAAAAACACACATGCAACAATTTAACAAACAGCACAAGCCGTTTTCATCAAGCCAAAATGTTGTCACGTACACAACAGACACTTTTGTAAAAAGGACTCTAAAATTAAATGTAATTTTTAGTAAGATGGTAAAGACACCTTACCAAATGTTTTCCTTTCTGAAAGCACTTAAAGTTGAACTCAGGGGCACAAAGACTTATTTAAATAGATTCCTCAGTAGCCACAAATGATATAAATCCACTGTGTGTGCACCAAATGTCTGTGCAAACCCAGATATTTCTTAGTAAAAGCAGCAGTGATGTTATCACTTTGCCGTACATAGCCTGTATAGACAGCAAAGCTGTGTGAGGGACCCAGAAGCTCCAACCACTACAGGCTGCTTGCAGAAAACTACAGAAGGGGCAGAGACAAGACAAGTCACCCTACCCAAGCAGCAAAAGCAGCAATGATCGGTCATTATTACAGGAAGATTCTGCAGAGGTTTGAGGCTCCATGCACACTAGCGTTTTTTTTTAAACTCCTAGAGGCTGTTGTCAGCATTTTATTCTGCTCTCAGAAGCTAAATAGTGTTATCATATATGTCCATGCACACTATTTTAGACTAGTAGTGTTTTTCAAGCTTCAGTCTTTAGGAGCAGGAGAAAAAAAAATGTTTTTGTAGAGTTTTTTGGGAACGTTTTTTCGGCAGGAAAAAAAACCAAAAACACTGAACACTCCTAAATGCTACTAAAACGCTCCAAACAGTTATTTCTAGCTTTATTTTTCCTTAACATGTACTGTAAAAGCACTAAAAAAGGCCAATGCTCCTACACGATTCTAAATGCTACTATAATGCTACTACAAGCTAGCACATTTTTCATCCAGTTATTTATTTTTTTGCGAATTTTTGAGCTTATAAAAAAATGCTAGTGTGCATGGAGCCTTATACTGGATTAGTGCACAGCTCTGGAAGCACACAAAGCACTCCAAGATTTAAGAAAAGAGAAAAGATACGACTTTTAATTAGACAATAGTTTCTTATCCAGGAATTCAGCTTCAAAAAGGAAACCTCTCATGAAAGTTGCCACTGTTGACCTTGCTTTTTGTATGAAGTTCATGAGAAAAAAAAAAAAAAAAAAAAAACTAACTTTGCCACAGGCTAATTGCTGCAGCATGCATGCAATAGGTCTGAAAGGAGAACTGACTTTTAGTCCTCATGCACACTGGATGTTTTTACAGCGGCTGTTTTTGGCTTTTGGTGTTTTACAGCCAATAAACTCCCCAGCATGTTATTCGATGTGTCCATTCACACATAGGCTTTAATCAGCGTTTAAAAAAAACAGAACTAGTGGGTTTCTAGTTGAGTTTTTTAGTTGTAAAAACACTAATGCTGCTAAACACAGCAAAACGGCAATTTGTTTTTTGTGTAAAAAACTCTAAAAAAAAATGCGAACGCGGAAAAACACAGCTAAATGATAATACAAAACGCAAAAAAATTGAGAAAAACTTGTGTTTTTAACGTCACTTTATACAGCTAACGCTACTGGCATTTTTAAAACACCCAGTGTGCATGAGGACTAAGCATGCAAAGCTTAGTTTATGAGAAAAGGCCTTGAATATCAACAAATGTAAAATGTTATGACTGCCTGTACATCCCTGTTATATCTATATTGTATATGTATAGCTCGAGCTATAAATTTTCAGCTTTGGATGGAGCAGGGAAGAGTTAGAACCTCTGTCAGGTTTTTATAGCTTTCTATGTCCCCTGCTGGTAAGATTCCCCCTTTTTATCTGTCCTGATGACCACTGTCACAAAGATAGGAAGTGATAGGGAATTCAAAACAGTTGTTAGCAGAACAGGCGGTGAGGGGACATTTTTCAGTGGGGACACCGGTTCTGGTGGGAGTCAGAAGGAGGGGATTTCCACTTATTTTGTAAAGATTTCTTCTCACCTCCCGATGTGTCCTTGGAACAGAAAGTGAAAAGAAATCTCACCAAGAGGCTTTTCACTTCACTATCCGAAAAAAAAAAAAAAAAAAGTTTTGACTAGAACTACACTCACCCATTGACACCTGCCTTACCTTTGCTACCCTGTACATCTGTTCAGTTGTCAATCCCTGAGTCTAGTAATTGTGTGAGCACAATGCTGACCTGTTCTGAAGCCTACACAAGGTTATTGTCACAGTCCTCACAGTGTTAGGGTCTGGTAAATAGCCACAGAGCCCTGAACAATACATTCCTGAAGTAAGGGAGTAGGCCACAGCCCATCCATACCTGACATGATGGGGTATCTCAGAGCTTCAACAGATCCAACAGAACAGTGGGAAAGCTCAGCAATGAGGAGTATTGGTGGCGATCTAGAACACTAGATCTGCCAAAGCGTATAGTGATCTCAACTGCCCTTAGTAAAACAGACACAGTCATGCAAAATTGGGCCTTATTTCCAAACATAGATGACTTAAAAACATAGGCCATAATCTGAAGGTGAAAATGGAATGCTAGGATGTAAATTTGACAGATGGTAGTGCGCATTGCAGGCCTTTGCTGCCAGTAAAATACGAGAGCTTACTGCCAGTTGACATATAATAGCATCTAGCAAGTACAAGTACAGACACTTATGGAACAGACACTTATGGAACCAGAACACAACTGTATTGTGGAACCAGAACACAACTGTATCGGAACTTTCACACTCTGCAGACACTTCTGTGCAGACAACCCAATTAGCTGGTAACAGCCCTGTTTTACTTCTTCTCCACTAAGATACAGTAAAGTGGACATCTGGACAAAAGCAGTTTTCTACATATTTCTTTTTCTATTGATCCTAAAAAAAAAAAAAAAAAAGCATGTCCTGTTTTTTCCTCAAACTAATTTAGTGCATTAAACCGGCCTGGAAAGAATGTGCAAATAACAATGCTTTATACATGAGTCGATGTTTAAGATTGGCCATAGATGGATCAAAATTCAGTCAGTTCAGCAGGGACCAGTGGAATCTCGGTGTATGTGTGGCCACTCCTGCTCAACAGAATTCCAGCTAATGATCAACTTCTGTTGAACGGTCTTGTTGGAAAAGTTTTATCCATTAGTGATGGCAGCCAATGGGCTGAACCTGCAGATCAGTGTATTCTGAGAGAGGGAGTCCCTGCTGTCAGAATACAATGGGGTTTATTTTCTAAAGTGGAAGAGTCCAAAATCAGGCTCACTTCTGTATAGAAACCAATCAGCCTGATTTTCACTCTCACAGCCATAGTAAATAAACCCCAATGTCTCAGCGGGGAGGATTCCTCTATCCATCTTGACTGTGGAGATGGAGTAATCCATTTGTTTTTTCCGTTCAGCCTTCTGGCCAAACAAACAATTCATCTGTGGCCAGCCTTCATTTTAATTTGCTGATATCATGCTATACAAAGGGAAACAGCCCCCAACAGACATCACTTTAAAACAAAAAATGTGTTACTTGATAATGGACAGATGCTAGGCCACATCAAGAAAACATTTATTATCTATGGGCCCCCCAGCAGACATCACTAGCTGTGGCTTGTTGGGGGATGAAGCAAATTGTCAGGTTGGAACACTTGTTTGATCACTGTTCTTTTCCCCCTGAAAAGCCAAGACCAGAGTCACTTTCAGATCACCTCACTGCACAAGCGAAAACATCATGGTCCTTGTCCTTGTGGTCATTATGTGACTGTGCCAGCACTGCACAATATTGCCCCCTTTGGGCACACTGGCTATCTTGGTTTTGTGATTTGTTCAGCTCTTGTAAGAAAAAAAAAAACCATCTGGCTTTTCGTTACTGCAGATTGACTAGGTGGGAGGAAATTCCTGCTGAGACCTGATGGATTTTGATGGCTGATTCTGTCAGCTTTGACTAGACCAATAACATCTTCCAAACGTCACATTCTTTTAAAATGTGTGTTTCTTTTGTCCTGACTTATTTGCACTACTTTACAGATTAGACCAATCCTAAACTGGCATCTTAATTTACTTAAATTAGGAAAAAGAATCATCACGAAAGTTGATACCTATCCAGACAAACATGTAAAACTTGTTTTTTTACAGTCAATTTCTAAATTAAAAAAAAACAAAACACAAAAGAGCATTGTCACGGTGAGATAATGGGGAATTTGCAATAAGCGTGATACAAGTATAACAGAATGTTTGCATTCCTCGCATGTGTTCTCAATTATTTTATGTTGAACAAATTGTCAACATGTGCAAATCATTCTCAAAAGTAGCCAAACCACACCCAACACTCCAGCCCCTAGGAACAAAAGAATTGCTCTGTAATTTATACTCAAGATCACTTATTTTCAGTAAATCACAAAACTGACAAATATCACATATCTACATCAATCAAAAATATAAGACCTCTCCAGGCCCGCACACAAGGTAGTGTCAGTCTGACACTTTATGATGCAAATCTCAAGAATTGCAATGATGCACTGACCGCCTCCCCCCCCCCCCAGTAAGACCAACCCCCTTCTGCCATGAACTGCCCCTATTTACACTGGGTGCCATATTTACACTGGGTCTGGTATGCACATCC